TTGTTCACTATCCGTCAGTGATGTCACAGAAGAAGCCCTTGAAGATGATGATGATGATGACTCACCAGAAGTACGACAATCGGATGTTGAGACTACCATGTCTAACTTGGATGACCATGTCACAGATTATAGAGTCAAACATCATGAGAAAGACCCTCTGACCTCAGAGATGGTGGAAGCAGCCCTTACAACAGCATGCCACAAGCAGCCATCTGATACCTTCTTTACCACCCACATGCAGCACAGTACTCACATGCTGAAGCTGCGGAGGCCTAGTGCTAGACGGGTGCCTGTCCTTATTGGACCTAGTATTCCACGACGAGATCGTCCCCATCTGCAGCCTCGACATAGTCGGCTTATGCTCATCTTATTCAAGCCGTGGCGTTCAGCAAGTGACTTGCGTAAACCTCACCAGTCATGGAAGGATGCATTTGATGAATTCCTAGAAACATGTCCAATTAGGCTGAGGAAGGTCATGGATAACATGCAGATCCTGCACGAATGCAAAGACAGCCGTGATGACCACTTTGCTAACCGACATTCTCATGCACGTAAGTCCCGGATATCCCAAAAGTTGATGAACGCACCACACGCAGAAGACGATTTCATAGGAGAAACAGATGAAGCTGACATCCTTGAGCATCTGGAGTCTATTGAGTCATCTACATCCTTCCATGCAACGCAGTCAATGTCCAGCGTACATGACTGTTTGAAGCATGTCAAAGAAACACACCTGTTTGAGTCAAACATCGCTGGCCAGCGCTATGATGGACTACTCCAATCCGCAGAAGCAGAAGATATCATAGCATCAGACTCTCCTGACCTTGAAGCTGAATGGAAGCAGGCTTACGATCAGCGCCGAGACGAGTGGAAGAACCACGTAGTAGATACTCACAGTAACATACGAGGCACCGCATCCAATGTTCTGAATCACCCAGATGAACCAAGGGTTGTAATCCGAGATGGTGAGATGTTTCGCATCGATAATGTGAGCATACCATCTGTACCACGTATTGCTGGTGGCTCCCTCGCACAAAGCACAACAAGTAGCAATCCTTCCTCAGTTAGCATTGACAGTATCATTGAAAAGTGGACGTTGAATACTGAGCAAGCACGTGCATTCAGGATTATAGCTGAGCATAGCGAGCAGCCACGACAATGTGCAGAGCCTCTGAGAATGTACCTTGGTGGTCCGGGAGGGACAGGTAAATCTAGGGTATTGAATGCTCTTCGAGACTTTTTTGCCCTGCGAAATGAAACACGACGCTTGCGAGTAGCAGCCTACACCAGTGCTGCTGCTCGCAGCATCGGTGGCACAACATTGCACGCAGTTCTATCACTTAATCAGCGCTCAGCAGGTTCAAATGTCAGTCTCGCGAGAACCAAGCGTGATCTCGTAGCAATGTGGGAAGGTGTCGATTATCTATTCATTGACGAAGTATCAATGATTGGATGTAAATTTCTAGCCGAAATTCACAATGCCCTAGTTGAAGCAAAAGGCAACACCAGTGCATTTGGAGGTATCAATGTAATTTTCGCGGGAGATTTTGCGCAGCTACCGCCTGTCAAACAAACTCGTCTATTCGCCCGCGTAGATACAAGGTCACTCGCGGAAGGTGGAACGAAGGCTGGCCAAAAAGCAATATTTGGGAAGCTGCTCTGGTTATCAGTCACAAAAGTTGTGATATTGACGCAGGCGATGAGACAAGCAGGCAGTGCAAATAGATGCTTTGTTGACCTCCTGAACAGACTACGAGATGGCAGGTGCACTGACGAGGACTACAGACTTCTACAGTCACACATCGTATCACGGGCCAATACGGACCTCAACAGCCCAGAATGGACCCTAGCACCCATTATAGTTACAGACAACGCTCTCAAGGACGCGCTGAATGAGAAAGCTGCTGTGGCATTTGCTGAAAGGACGAATCGACAACTACATTGGTACTATGCAATAGACCTCCACAATGGCAAGCAGGTAACAGATCCTGAATTACGAGAGAAGTTAGAGTCCTTCAACTCAGGCCAAATGAATCAGCAGCTGGGAAAGATTCCGCTAGTCCCTGGAATGCCAGTGCTGGTCAACCAGAAATTTGACATTGATGGTGGCATTGTCAACGGAAGCACTGGAGTCCTCAAGAGAATCAGATTCTTCATGGACGAAAGCGGCCGTAGGTACCTGAAGTCTTGTATCGTCGAAATTTCGGATTCGATGGACAGGCCATTGCCACACTTGATGCCACACCATGTTCCAATTCTTCAAGACTCCACGGACTTAACATTCACCCACCCGCACTCTGGCAAAAAATGTCATATCAAGAGGATTCAAGTTCCGTTTTTCACCCGCATTCGCAATGACCGCTCACAAGGCACAGGGACTTTCGCTGCCCCACCTCGTCATAGACCTGCATGGGACAAGAGGCACGGAGGCTCCCTATGTCATGGTTTCAAGAGCGACTTCGCTCGAAGGCCTTATGATTCTACGCGACTTCCCGAAATCGAAGATACGCTGCCACCCATCTCAAGAGGTGCGACAAGAGATGCAACGCTTGGAAAGCCTACGCCTGCAAACGACAATGATGCATGGCACCCATGACGAAGCTGAATCAGCCAGAGCCCTGCTGCGGCAGATACGTGAAGACAACACGCTGGCAATGGACGGTCGGGACAATCGGGCCTTGACAGATTGGGGAGAGGATCTCAATGATCTACTCGATCGTATACAAAATGTGACATACATACAAGGTGAGTGAAGCTGAAATGACAGAAGTCAGCACGAGAACCGTGAGTGATGTTCCTTCGGAGGTGCAGGAAACAACGATGACTCTGCCAGTGGGCATACACGGGCAACATACCGCAAGCGCAAGGATAACCAGGATGGACAACACAATGACACTACCTCAGCGAAGCACCCCTGACGTACCTGATCGATCGCATAATGTGCAAAACATTGCAGGTGGTCGTCAAGTATCAGGGTACTCATGTTTCGACGTTGCCCAAGTAAGTGCACCGAACCTTCTCGAATAGCCGCTATCCATCTCACACCTTGCCTCACCAATCCTCTGCTGCAATACGCCAGGTATGCCCGATACCTGCGACCACTAAGTATATATACCGGCTTGGCTTCACGAGACAGTGTGTGCACTCTGCTGGTATTAACATTTCACGCCTCCATTCGCTCCATATGCCCTCTGACGCCTCTAGCCCTAGCACGCTGTCCAGCCCCTCCTCTGACACCGGACGCTCTGACGGACCACCCAATACCACCACGCAGGATGTCCCTGCCTACCTAGTAAGACGCCTGGATACCGGGGTATACGAACATCTGGAACAAGCTATCGAGGCAATGGGAAAGGCGGCTCTGGGCTTCAACGACATAACAACGGACTTCAACCTGCAAGACGGACAGTGGAACAACGGCCACCAGCACTACATCGACAACAATGGCAATCGTTTCACTGCAAACGTGTGAGGAGAGGTGCGAAGCTCCGAAGACGGTACCAAGCTAGATGCGAAAGGTAATCATTATCCTGACTGGACGGTACGCTTAGCACATCATCATAAAAGTCAATGATAACGCTAACGGTGCAATAGCCCTATTACCGACGACACCAATATAAAAAACGTGCTGGTAATCGGCGAGCCTGGCGATGCAGCGCGTTTCGACAAACTCCACGCTTTTTGGCACAACCAACTAGTTACGCTCCAGGACGTAGGGAGGTTCGACGAAGAGCGAGAAGAAGATGACAAAAACAACCATGTATGTCTTCTGTGGTCCATGCGACTGAAGGTACATCTAATAATACATTCAGGACACTCGATTCAGGATTAACAACTGGCTCAGGCCCCCGAGAGGGGATGCTCGTGAGGACCGCAACCTCATTGCGCTGACAATTTCGCCGGCCAAATATGTGGTAATGCTCGATACCCACCAATCGTACTCCGTCTATGCTCATAACAATACCAGAAACCTGACAGGAAAGACAAAGCAGTCAAAACTCCGTTCCGTCTGGGCTTGAGCAAGGTCAAAGTCGAATGCAGTGACAAGGCGTCGATATCTTCGAATGGCAATAATGACGATGTGATTATGCAAGAAGACCATGATGTGCCACCTTCCTTCCCCCCCGTAAGTTGCACTGCTACAATATCTGACGTATGGCTGCTGAGGGACCCAAAGAAAAGGATATAAAGCTCGGAGCGACATACAACCCCAGGCTTCTTCCGGACTACAGCCGACCGCTCTATCAGCTCAAGACTGCGAGACTGACTCAGCCCGACATTGTGGACGTCAACGGCAAGCTTATCCCACCGTGGCTGCTGCACGACAAGCTTCGGCCTGGTACGCTTATTGTCGCGAACGTTGAACTAGTGGTCTGGGTGTTCAAAAAGGGCAAGGAAATATCAAAGGTAATTGTTTTCGGAGACAAAATCATGTCGATAATGACAAACATTGTCCTGCAGACCTATCAAGTTGTCGCGCACAAGATCAAGGTCGTTGATCCCTCTGATGCTCCCGCAGAGATCCCGGCTCCTGGAAATCTGAAACCGAAGCCAGATGCTGCCACACCCATGACGCCTTCAGCTCAATCAAAAGATCATTCGACGAATTCATGAGCCCAACACCATCTCCCGCATCTTCTCCGGTGAAGAAAACAAGGCATACTACTACGAAATAATTACTTTTCTTGTAGATACTTGAGATTAAAAATTAAATTGCCATCTGAGATATGCTCGTGGAACAGTCAAGTCCATGTCATCAGACTCGTTCTACACGAATACACCATCTGATGTCTTCTCTGCAGGAAGACAACCATATTACAGGGAAGGAACATTGTCGGCACACTGCACGGATAATGTTCTCGCACCGTCCTCATTGTCACCCCGACAACAACCAAGACTTGACTTCGGTGGCCGCCGGAAACATCCAACAGTCCAATAGTGACATTGTCACACCGTCATACAGTAGCTGGTATTATCCTGTTCAGCAACAGGACGGTCCTTCTGAGTACATGAGGCACCGTATACAAGTCTTCTGCGATGCCACGAGGTGCTTCTGGAGCTAAGAATCCCATCCGTAACATATATGGCATGACATCTGTGACATGGTAATGTGACTCACTTGTGTTGGGATGGTCAGCATAGTGTTGCCACGGCTCGGCACAGCTCGGCACAGCTCGGCTCTCGCCGGCTCTCGCGTGGTAAGGCCCCGCTCCCGCTCGACGAGCCATGATGTCAGGCTCCAAAGCCGCCGGCTCGGCACAGCTTGTGGCTCAGCCGCGGCTCATTGCCTAATGTGGCCAAGTCAGCGACGAGTCATCTTCGAACGCGTCCATGAAAGTACGCGCCGGCGCAACGACGTCGCTCGTAACCTAAGTAGAACAGATAGAGAGTGTACAGGATATGATAGATATAATAGCACTATATTAGCCCCCATTACGCTGGTCATTAACCAGAATGGATTCTTCAAGCTCATGTAGCTCAGTGTCTTTATTCATTCCCGCTGTGAAGTCGAGGTGACGGCCGTGACGGAAGGAGAATTTGAGCATTTGCAGTGCTTCCATCAGTTCTGCTGCAATGCGGTTGCGGCGGTCTGTCATCGTCTCCTTTGCTGACGAAAATACACGCTCGCAGGGGACTGCC